CACTCTCAGCATCCAGTACTTTGCAAATCTCTCCGAGTCCTTCCATGGTTTTTATAAAAGCATCTACAGGACCCAGGAAGGAGAACTCAGGTAATTCTTTTTGACGTGCAAAAGTTTTTGGTAGTACCTGTAGTTGTTTTGTAAATGTGAAATTACTCTGTTTTCACACATCGGGGGGGGGTGTGTGTGTGAACACTGCGCATACGAAGGTGTGTGACCAAAACCCCTTTTTTTTTTTTCCTCCACTTAGAGTGCTTGCAGCAACACAGTTTGAGCCGACAGCCGCGCGAATGGCCTTCCCATGTTTCGACGAACCCGCCTTCAAAGCCAGGTTTTCAATTACCATTAGGAGGGAACCAAAGCACCTTGCGCTGTCCAATATGCCAGTTGTAGGTGGATACTTTTAACTGTGTGCTGTTGATTGGTGATCTTTGAAACAAGGAAGCAAAAGGAGGAGAGAATATCCAGCCATTTGCCGTTAATGGGAATGGTCATCTGAACATTACCGCAGTTCTTCTATGAGAGTGTGTGGTGCTGTTGCTGGTAGTCCTGACACAAGTTTGGGAAGGAATGAAGAAAATAGTGCATGGTGTGGGTGCCTGCTTCTCAGCAGGGGTGTGAGAATGATCAGCACAATGTAGCCTCCATAGTCTTTATTTTACTCACAAAATGCTTTCCATCGTAGATTTTAAGATTAATGATGAAATACATATGAATAAATACATGATTCATGTGTATTAACTTAATTGTCAGATAAGCAGGACCTTCTCTGGGGAAAAAAAAAAACTTTGGACTTCAAAAAAAACATCTCAGAGTGAAAGTGCTGTGCATGTAATAGCTACAAATACTGTTTGTGATTATAAATACTTACGCACATATAGGGTTAACTACGTTTTGTACATTTGATCTTACTTTGGGTGTAAGAGATTCTTCATAATTTCTTCTGTACTATTAGTTACTGGTTTGCAAGGAAAGTAACCCTTATAAATGAGGGAACAGCACCCCCCCACCCTCCCCCCCCCAAGTACCCTTCAAAAACGAAACATATAAGGAGTGGGTGCCAGTGTCACAGTTCAGTGTGGCTAAACGTGTTCTGGTCTAAGTTTGTTAGCTAAGGCTCTCTGTAACCAAGAGGGGAAAATGGATACCTCCAACACGTGACTCCTTTTATGCTAAAGTAGGTACCTGTGGTAACTGAATCACGATTCGGAGGAGTTCATTTCTCTCGTGTAACAATGGCTGCTGAGCTTTATACAGCTTCTAATCAGCTGAAGTTGTGTGAAATGAATTCGATCAGTGTGCTGGCAGACACTGAGAAAAACTGATGCAGTGAACAGTATTTTCATTTTTCTAGTTTTACCAATGTAGAAGTAAGTAACGCTTATGAATGAAACTGCCTATATATACGTATATGTGTTTTCATTCTCTGTGTGGGGGGGAGTGGGCATGGGGATGACTTCTTTCCAGTGTATCTTTGAAATGTAATGTAATGTAATATCTTTAAAATGTAATGTAGTACCTTTAAAATGAGAAGAAACACAACAATTGTTGGTGCCAAGGTCCTCACAGGTACTGCTAGTGGCTGATAAGCTGCGCTCGTTTTTTAGGTGAAGTCTGTGACTATAACACCCTGCCTTGTTGAGGACCATTTTGATACCACCGTCAAGATGAGTACATACCTTGTGGCCTTTATCGTTTCGGATTTTAAATCCATCAGCAAAATAACCAGTCATGGAGTTAAGGTAACTCTGTCTCATTTTAAGTCTGTATGAATACATAATGGTTTACTTTTCAGTTAAATCATCAGATTTATATATCTCAATGTTTTACAGGAATGAAAGGAAAGAAATTGGTTTTGTAATTGGATTATTAGTTTGCATTCTGAGCTTTATTAGTTTGAAAAGTTTTTGGTAATGGGCTTACTTTTTATATAATTATATGCATTGGTAACATAGTTTGTTTCATGTAAGATTATATAATTAAAGGCAAGTGAAATACAGTTTTCATGGAGAATCAGCACTAAAATAAACCTGTGTCAGTTGAATGACTAACATGGTAGGGGTGGAAATAGAAGTCTTTGTAGGGGCATACTGGTTCTGGTGAGTAAGCTTTAAAAGTTGTATTCCTAATTCTGATAATATTTTTCTGCAAACGTTTTCATAACTCTTGTATGAGAAGTGTTAGGTGTGTGCTCTGGTGTCCCTTTTTATGGTCATTCAAGTACCTGTGATAAAGAACAACTTCTGTAAGTTTTTGATGCTGGTATTGAAGTGCTGCCTGCTCGTCTGCTGCAGATTTCTGTGTACACAGTGCCAGACAAGATCAACCAAGCTCATTATGCGTTGGATGCGGCAGTGAAACTTCTAGACTTCTACGAGGATTACTTCAGCATTCCATATCCTCTACCTAAACAAGGTAAGTGTTAAATTTAATTTAATGTATTCAAGAACATTATTAAGCACAGAGAGTAAAATAGCACAAAATCAGTAATTCAGAGTATTAAGACAGGGCCAAGTTTGGCTCACAGGCTTTTAAAGTGGCTGCTTCACAGAACTTAAGGACAGGTTGAAAAGCTCCGCTGGGAACTGAAGATCCTTGTCTTCTGTATAGAGCTTTTTTTAGACATTTGTTTTTGCGATTACATTTAAGAGACCCCTTGGAAGTATGTGTGATACCTGTGCCTGTGTGGGAGCAGCCATGAAGTGGGAGAGCTGGTGAGCGAGTTCTTTATTGAGTAAAATGATACTAGTACTATTTTAATGTTTTTTCTAGATTTGGCAGCTATTCCCGATTTTCAGTCTGGTGCTATGGAAAACTGGGGACTGACCACATACCGGGAATCTGCATTGTTGTATGACCCTGAGAAGTCCTCAGCATCTTCTAAACTTTGGGTTACTATGACAATAGCCCATGAGCTGGCTCATCAGGTGAGATTTGGGGAAGAATAAGAAGTTCAAATGGGCCTGCAGAGGGGTCGGGGCTGATGGATCCTGAGCTATAAGCTGAAGATGCTATATGCATCTTCAAGCTGCTTCGGCTTGAGGGTGCTCGTCTGTGAATCACGAGGACTGTTTCTGGTGACGGAGTCCTGGCAGGCTGCATAGACACGGAGGGCTGTAAACAGAAAAGTGTTCCGTTCAGCAGCTGTGGGGCCTTTGCACCGTTGTCAGCCCTTGAAATTAATTGCAGGCCACCAAAATAGGAACCTAAAAGTTTGGAAAGGTTAACTGTTTCATATATGGCTCCCCTGCCAAACGTGGTTTCTTTACAAGGTTTCTTGGAACGTGAGTGGAAACCTGTGTTTTAGCGTATTAGCATTAAAATGAGAATGCAATGGGAAGAGGCCAGAGCAAACTGTATCACTAAAAAAAGGCTCCTTAGAGGGCAATATCGTACTATAAATGCAGTTTCATACAGGTCAGTGGCAGCTTTTGTGATAAATGGTGTATTTGATTTCAGGAGCTCTTTTGTTTTTTTTCTCCCCCCCCCAGTGGTTTGGCAACCTCGTTACCATGGAGTGGTGGGATGATCTGTGGTTAAATGAAGGGTTTGCAATGTTCATGGAGTTCGTGTCAGTCAGCGTTACCCATCCAGAACTGAGAGTTGTAAGCAGCTGTTACTGTATTTTTATTGTTACTGTATTTTTATTTTATGACTGCCTTCTGAAGAAGGGATAAAGACCAAGCAGATTTGTGCTGTGAACCACTTTTAGATTTCTGTTTAATAGGATTATCTGATGATGTTAACTCTGAAAGATAGGAATGTTGATTTTAACTATATGTAAGTATTTTCAGGAACTGATGATGGAAGTTAATGATTGCAGTGAAAGTGTATTCTTTTTTTAAAGACATTGAGACTTCCAAAATAAAGAAATTATTTTATCTTATTTCATCAAATAGGGTCAGACTTGAAAACACTAAAATCCTTCCACTAGCTTTAGCAGAGGTCCGATATATGAAATTTTCTACAAAAGTGAGATGAACAGTGCATTTGGGCAGAATTTTGCCGTAGCACTACAGTGGCACGATAATAGGGAAATTCACCTTTTTTTTTTTTTTTTAATTTGTTTTATGGTTACTGACCACTCTGTCATCAAACTGTTGGAATGTGTGGGTGTCTTTTTGGAGTTATTTTTAAGTCTCACTAGCTTGACTATTTAAGTTAGTTTAGAACACTAGAACTCATTTGGCTGTCTGTATTACTGTTTTTTTTTATGCTCTGGAATAAAAAGAAAGATAGGTTTTGTTTTCTTTGTATGATTTAAAGATCATGTGGAATGGACTGAAAAGTGAACGAATAGGAATTCAGTGGTCACTGAGCAAAATGTAGTAGTAATACTTGTTTTTGCCTCCTATTAGGAAGACTATTTCTTAAGGAGATGTTTTGATGCCATTGAAGTGGATTCATTAAATTCATCACATCCTATATCTACTCCTGTGGAAGATCCAGCTCAAATTTTAGAAATGTTTGATAATGTTTCTTATAAGAAGGTAAAATACGTAACTGCTATTGATTTCAGTTGTACTGCTTGTACTATACAACTGGATTTTACTGATTTCATCCCTACGTACAAGACGTTCCTGACACAGGGTGTTAGTGGTTTTATGACTTGAATAATTCCTTGTCCAAAACACCTGGGTGGATTCAAATGGCAGTTGCCTTTTCCATTTCTAAAATGAGGAAGCCTTTACTTCTTCTATCTGTTCTGTATCAATTTAGTCTTAAATAATTTTTTTAGGTTCTTAACCCAAGGAGTGTTTTTCACTGGAACATTATATGGTGCTGGCTTGTATAGTAATTAAAAAAAAATAACATAACTTACTCAATCAGTGATATTTTTAAGAGTAATGATCAGAAAAAAACAAAGTACTGTTTCAATATACATAAAACCCGATTATTTTTTGATCAGAGAGACATACAAAACTGAACTGTTAATGTAGATTAGTGGCATGCTGAAATTTTTCTGAAACAAGGATCTTGCCAGCTAAGCAGTAGTTTTGTAAACACTTTGTCCCTCTTTTTTCCAGGGATCTTGTATATTAAATATGCTGAGGGACTACCTGACTGCTGATGTGTTGAAAGCTGGACTTGTGCAGTACCTGCAGAAATACAGCTATCAGAATACAAAAAATGAAGATTTGTGGAACATTATGACAAATGCAAGTATTCCGTACTCTCTTATGTTTTTCAATTTCGTAACTTCTCGTGAATAATGTGTCTCGCTAATACATTACTGAAGACTATGACCAGTATTTATGATTATGACATCAAAGAGAGATGCCCAAAACTTCTGTTTTTTTCCTTTCAGATTTGCCCTACAGTAGGTAGTGATAAAAATGAGCTACAAGGTGATGGTTTTTGCAGAAGCCAACAGTCATCTTCAAATGCAGTAAGCATCTAGTTTTCTACCCATCAGTATTTAGGAGTTTGACACGTGTCTGTGCCTTCTCATGTTACTATTCCATGCCGTGGCATTGATACGTGCACCTTCCAAAAGAATTCTTTGCCACTTGAGCATGGTTCTAGGGAGAGTGTAAGTTTCTTCAGTTCAACTGGAAACCTGTTTTCTCTGAGATTGAACACAAATCCTACTCCTGTGCACAGGGCTGACTGAAAAACAGCAGCGCTTAAAGCGATGTTATTAACTATATGAAAATGTCCACAAGAAAATCAGCTGGAGATGTTATGATATCCAGTCTAAACATACCTATGTAGAGCTTACACATACCCAGCAGCTTTTAGAGTTCTTACGTACCCATTTCTGTTTCACTGTCAGTGTACTCCCATCTTCCTCCTCTTATGTGTCTTCTTTTTCCCTTGCTAAAAACCAGCACTGGACTAAAGGAGAGACTCTTGATGTAAGGGCAATGATGGACACTTGGACACTGCAAAAAGGTTTTCCCCTGGTAACTGTCACGGTGAGAGGGAAGAATGTCCACCTGCAGCAGGAGCGCTACATGAAGGGAGTGAATTCTCCTTCATCCACAGGGTAAACAAAATGGAGAAATCTCAGCACGCAAACTGAGATAGTCTCCTATGGCAAACACTGTTGTACAATAAGAGCTTTTGCTCTTGTTTCTTAAGGAACGCTCCCTGAGCTGTTTAGTTGTGAGTCTCTCCCTTTGTAGCTCAGGATCAGTAGTACTCCTGTCGTTGGACCCTGCATGCCTGTCCAAGGTCCCAGTAGCTGCAGAGCTGCCGTGGCCAGGCATCTGGGTGAGCTGGGTGAGCCTGCGCTGGAGACACGCTAGTGGAACTAGGCTGGAAAGTTCCTATTGTTGCGGCTTCAGTGTCAGTGATCCCCAAAGCAAACTAAATGCAAGCTGGCTAGACGTATGTGGCTCTGCACTGAAGTCAGGGCTGTGAGTGCAGCACGTTGCTGTTACTGTACGGGCAAAAGATACTGCTCAGTGGTTAGACTGGGACAAGTTGGAGAAGCTTTTGCAAAGTTCTTTCACTAAACAAAGCACTTCTGTTTTGCAATAGGTACTTGTGGCACATTCCACTAACCTACATTACCAGTAAATCTGACACTGTTCAGAGATTTTTGATGACAACTAAAGCAGGTAATTTCTTTGACTAATTAGGCCATTAATTTATTCAAAGTTTGTTTGCAAGACTTTTAGTTTTGCTGGTTTTTTTTCAGAATGGGGAACTGGAACTACTAGTACCAGAGAAGCAAATTTTTGTCAGCTTAATACTACCACCATAATGATCTCTTAATATATTCAGAAACCATGTTACTGTGTTCTTTCAGTCACTGAAATGAGAGTAACAGTATTATTGGGTATAGTACTAGGATGTGTTTGAATCACTAAGAAAAAAAGGAGTTATGTTTTTTGTTTCCAGATGTCATTATTCTTCCGGAAGAGGTGGAGTGGGTTAAATTCAATGTGGATATGAATGGGTATTACATTGTGCACTATGAAGATGACGGATGGGATCGTCTGATTAACGTTTTGAAAGAGAACCATACGATGATTAGCAGCAATGACAGAGCAAGTCTCATCAACAACGTATTCCAGCTTGTGAGGTATGGCCTTCTGTCCAAGACTGAAAAAAATACAAACTGTGTATTTATGAGTATGTATCACTGAGGAATTAAGTGTTGGTAACATATATAGTAGTATTCATCAAATCTATTAAATAGACTGAGAGCATATTCTTTTCTTGCTTACAGCAGTGTAAATGTGGGATTTCTCTTCGCTGCAGTGGATTTATCTAAGCCTATTTAGTGAAACGTATTCAATAAAGACATGCTAGCAGAAGGATGCCAGTGTGAAGTGATGGACTAGGATAATGTTTTTGCACCTGGAAAGATACTGGTGCCATTTGTCAGTTACAAACAAGGCTATTACAGTCATAAAGATGTGACACGATTATGATCCTGATTAGTCTTAGTTCTGTGGATGCACTAGAAAAGGCTGTGTCTTAGAAGCGCTTTGCAAACACTTCTGTGTGGCAGCCTGGCACAGAGAAATAAAGAGCTGACAGAAGTAACTCCCGGTCTGAGTGTACGGTGTTCAAGAAAGAGGGTAGTGGGGGGAGCTGGAAGAGAATTAAGACCGTATGAATTTGAGGTGGCAGCTCACAAGGCAATGTCAGCAGGCTTAGTCAAGATTTTCATTTGGACAGCAGAAGAAGGGTCTTTCTATTTTGAAGAGAAAGAGGAGAGCGCTGAAAGACTGCTCTGCATGTTCAAGGAGCTTAGAGAGGAAAGGAAGGGACAATTAGAGATGCAGATTGGGTTAAGCAGGGTTCATTTTATGATGGGTGACTAGAACATAGTTGTATTTTGAGGCAGAAGAGGCAGGTGAATAAGGACAAAATGAGAATGTGTGCAGGGAGCTGACATGGAAAGGAAGCAGAAAAAAGGTTTTGCGGAAGGATGAAGAAATGAACAGGGAGAGTGAGAAAAGATCTCTTGCATTTTCTCTGTTTGCTCTTGGAAGAAATCATTGAGATGTGTCCTGGCAGAGGTAGAAGACAGTTTGCAAAGTCAGGTAAAGACAGTGAAGGAGCAGTTGGGATTGTAGCTTTGAGGTTTACTGCAGGCTAAATATTTACATGTTAGGCTAGAAAGATGTTGCTGAGGAAATTATCTCAGTCATTGGATTCCTTGTGTATGGTTTGTAGAGCAAAAGCAATAGTGGGGAGGGAGCAAGAGGGAGAGGCTGTGCTCAGAAAACCTTGGCATATGAGAGATGGGGGGGGGGGAAGTCAACACTTCTAAATCATAGAATCATTTAGGTTGGCAAAGACATTTAAGATCATCAAGGCCAACTGTAAACCTAGCACTGCCAAGTCCGCCACTAAACCATGTCCCTGAGCGCCACATCTACACGACTTTTAAATACCTCCAGAGAGGATGACTCCCCTGGGCAGCCTGTTCCAGTGCTTGACAACCCTTTCAGTGAAGAAATTTTTCCCAATATCCCATCTAAACCTCCCCTGGCGCAACTTGAGGCCGTTTCCTCTCATCCTTTCGCTTGTTCCTTGGGAGAAGAGACCGACCCCCTCCTCGCTACAACCTCCTTTCAGGTGGTTGTAGAGAGCGATGAGGTCTCCCCTCAGCCTCCTTTTCTCCAGGCTGAACAACCCCAGCTCCCTCAGCCGCTCCTCATCAGACTTGTTCTCCAGACCCCTCACCAGCCTCGTTGCCCTTCTCTGGACACGCTCCAACACCTCAACGTCCTTCTTGTAGTGAGGGGCCCAAAACTGAACACAGTATTTGAGGTGCGGCCTCACCAGTGCTGAGTACAGGGGCACGATCCCTTCCCTGCTCCTGCTGGCCACACTAGTTCTGATACAGGCCAGGATGCCGTTGGCCTTCTTGGCCACCGGGGCACACTGCCGGCTCATCTTCAGCCAGCATTCTCTTACAGTCCATTTCTTAGTTCAAAGATTAAATATTAGGTTTCATAGCTTACCTAGCTGCTCAGACACATTTCACTTCAAAAAGCAAAGTTAAAAAGAGATTTGGAAATACCTTTAAGGCTTTACTATTTGTATAGTTTTCTGAAAAACATTTGTCTTGGATTTTGCTTTTGTCTTTTAAGTTTAATTATAACTTGTTTTATCCCCTCTCTTCTACTTCCTTAGCATCAACAAATTGTCAATTTCCAAAGCTTTTGATTTAACTTTGTACCTGAAACATGAAAGACAAATCATGCCTGTACTCCAAGGTATGAATGAGCTGATTCCTATATACAGGCTCATGGAGAGGAGGGATATGGATGGTACAGCAAAACAGTTAAAGGTAATATTTTAAGTAACTAGAACTTTGTAACTCTGCCTGTACCCTGTAAAATGCACTTTAAAATATATCTTCATTGTTACCTTATTTTAGGAGTATATAATCAATCTATTTAAAGACTTGATTGACAGGCAGTCTTGGAGTGATGAAGGCTCAGCATCTGAGAGATTGCTTAGGCACTCGCTCCTGCTGTTTGCGTGTGTGCACAGGTACCAGCCGTGCGTGGACAAAGCCAAAGGATATTTTACAGAATGGCAAAAATCCAATGGAACCTTGAGGTCTGTTCTGTAACTATTACTGTTTTTTTCTGATACTCTGTTTAGTTACACTAGAGTTAATTTATGAAAAGAGCTAAACTTCAGTCCTTTCCACACTCTGAAGTTGAACCTTCTTAGTTTTGTATCTCATGCTTTAGCTTTCAAGTGCCTTTACAGTTTGGTGTGTAATATGTGCCCAAACTAGCACATAACATCATGTGGTACTCCACAACTTGGGTTGTTAAAGATGTTCTGAAAAGTGAAAATAACATGTATTCCCTCATTTATGTGTCTGAAGATTGAACTATACCTGCTGTAAAAATAGGTAACTACTGTTCATGAACTTCACCTTATTTTTGTTTCTTGTCACGACGTAAGATCTTCCTAAAACACCCTCCAAAATGTCTCTGAGAGATTGTTCTGGGCAGGCCAAAGAAGACCGTCTTATGTATCTGACTGGGCATAGCCATGAAAGGAATATACAAAAATAAAGAAGAAAAAAAAAAAAGAACGACAAGTCCAGAATAGGAACAGGAACAGTACTGAGATACAGCCTGAGATGTTTAACTGTTTCCCAGCCACAGGGATCACTTTCTGATACCCCTGAGGGACCAGTATTTTTTAATAAATTGTCTGCTATGCCAATTGACGTGATGGTGACATGGTTGTGTTTCTACATGTATTCTTAAATATGACTTGGAGAGTAACTTGGTATTCAATTTGTTGTAGCTTGCCAGCAGATGTGAAGACAGCAGTGTATGCTGTTGGAGCACAAACGTCCGAAGGCTGGGATTTCCTCCTCAGTAAATACAGACTGCAGTTGTTCAATGTAGAGAGAGAGAACATTGAATTAGCTCTCAGCCTCAGCAGAAGTAAGGACAAACTTCAGTGGTAAGTAGCTACAGAGAACAGATATGTGTTTGGGGAAAATTTACGAACATTGAAACAGGAAATAGAATTATTCAGAGTCTTGTTTCATCGCTTTTGAAATTCGTGGTGTATAAAATGCTTTACAGAGTTCATACGGTGGGAGGAAGTGGCCGCACCTTTGCCTTTCTGCGTTTCGGTGCCGGGAGTCAATGAGCTCAGAATTTGCAGTAGCAAGTTGGGACGAAATACAAGTAAACAGCTATTCAGATACCTTATCTTTGCTTGACAGACAGTTCTTTATTTACCTTTGTAGTTACTTTGATTATAGGTAGATATGCTGTACATCTCTTACAAAAATTTGAGGTTTCCTGCTTTTAAGAGAGCCAAGGACCACTGAGTTTTTCAGGTGCTGCCTTCAAACCATGCATTCCGTGAACCTGATTTCTGCCATTTGATGGGGGTGACAGCACGGGACACTGATTTAACTGTGTTCAGGTATCACTGGAGACACACTTTAGCTGTATCATTATGTTATTATTTATTCTATGCATTGCAGTGCTGTTTGGACACCTTAGTCATGAGCAGCACTTGCAGGCCTGAAGTTTGCACTGATACTTAGTACAGAGCAAGTACCTTTCTTACAGAGGGAGGAGCGAGGGTCATATTCATTTGGAAATTTTGAGTAGGAGCAAAATGTAGCCTAGTTTTTACCCTTAATATTCAGAATACAGGTCTACCGAGTAACTGTAACTGTGGAAGTAACAGAAATGGGAAAGATGGATGTGGCTGAGGAGTATGTCGTGAAAAGCTGGAAGTAACCCAGCAGAAATGGTGCGTCAGGACCTTTGTCAGCTTTATCTACTGGTCTAAACAACTTCCATTTCTGTTATTAATTCTTAGGTTAATGGATCAAGGTCTGCGTGGTGACATCGTAAGAACTCAGGATCTTCCACATATTATTGTATTTGTTGCCAAAACCCCATCTGGCTGTCATCTAGCTTGGACGTTTTTAAAAGAAAATTGGGAGAAAGTTGTAGAAAAGTAAGGAACATAAGTTGTTTTACTGCTCTCTCTACCCAATTGTCCTTTAAAACTCTACTTTCTACAAAAATAGACATTTTCTCAGTATAGGTGATTCTTTTTGCCAGATTTGAACTCGGTTCCAATTCTGTAGCAACCATTGTCACTGGAGTGACAAGTCGGTACTCAACAAGGTCACAGCTTGCACAGGTAAGCCATTCAGATCCTGGTTTTAAAAAATGGTTGTAGCATAACTGAAATGAAAATTTGGATTAGATCTTAACATGGTAAAAGCACGACCAGTTATGAAGCATCAGGGCAATATCCTGCCTTTTCCTTGAAGAAGATTATAGCAGTGATGAGGTAGATTACTCAAGGAAGAGCATTAATTCAATGGCAAGGAGAAAGATGTTCTTTGTTTAAGCAGTGAGCTTGGAGGCAAGAGTATGAATATTTGCCAACGCATTTGTGGTTTACCTGCCTTCCACCCACTCTGGAAAGTAGTGAGTGGGGAAAAAAAAGTAGGTCTTTTCACAGAGCAGACAGAAGAGAAATGCTGAAGGACAGTGAGAAATCATCTCCCTGTTCTACATCTTCTATTCCGGGGAAAATTCTCCATGCTCCTGGATGTCATATATGATGGTCATTTTGTCTGCTTATTCCACTATCTCTGTTGATGGTAAAAAAAAAAAAAAACAAACCCAAAACCAAAAAAACCCCAGA